CTCTATAGGTCCCACTGTTTGCCCTCCAGGCTATTTTGGCGCGCCCAGCTGTCAGCGTGAGTGTGATTATTCTTACATTTTCTCATCCATCAATGGGACTTTATGTTCAAATAGTCTCATGATAGCAGTGGCCATTTGGGGCTATTTAGTGGAAACTAATATTATTTATAAGTTTCCTTCAAGCTGGGAAATCCATTATCAGTAATATGGCATTGCTATTAAAGTGAAAACCATCAGCCCTTGATTTTTTTCCTCTCACTCAATTCAGCTGTCAGAGAACGTATGCTAACACTGACTTACCTCTAACGTGTAGGCTCAAGAGCCTGTCTTTCAATCAGCAGCCTTTGAAAAGCTGGTTTCATGCTTGGGAGCTGCTTAGAGGCAAAGAAAACTATGGTAGTCTCTTGGGTGGCTGTGCCAAGCCTATTCGGGAACCCCTACCGGGCGGGGCCTGGCAGGGGTGGGGTGGGCACCAGCATAGCTGTGCCACTGTGTGCCACACTATGAGAATAGTTCAACTGAAGGAAGTATTTGTCAGTCTTTTTTTTTTGGGAGTTCCACTAAAGAAAGAGCTCAGCCTCAATTATAAGCAAACGTTAATGTTCCACTAGGAATACACATTTGAATTTCTGTTAAGATTTAATTTGTTTGCTGTTATTGTTAAATTAAATGCTTCCACTGTGTTTTGTGTGCAGCGTGTATTTGTGACTACAGAGGGACTCTGGGTGGGATATGCGATGCTTTAGGCCGCTGCCTGTGCCAGCAGAGCGTGGAGGGCGAGCACTGCGACCGCTGTCGACCTGGATACCACTCCTTCCCAAACTGCCGGGGTGAGAGAGACATGCATGCCAATTTGAACCCCGCAGACTGTAAAGAAACACAAAGTCATCAGTGTTACTGGTTAATGATTAGGAAACAGGAGTTTTATTTTAATAGAAGTGGCCACAAGTGGTTATTATGTGGAACAGGAACAAAGGCAGCAAATCAGCGCTGTAAATGTTAATAGGTGTGACTGGAGTGACTTAATTACACAGCAGGGATTAGTTTGTCCAGCAATCTTTTGCTTTGTTAATACAGAGAGAAACTTCACTCTCTCCATGAAACAGCTTACAGTATTATCAGATGGAAGTACGCTTACATATTTGGCCCTTTTTAAGTCTTAGCTCAAGGTTTTTGACACTTGACCCTTAAAGCTTTAAATGGACCCTCCAGACAATGTGATTTCAGTAACAATTATCAAAGTACATTTGGAAAAATGCGTGTGTATTATGTGTGTTTTAGTTGATGTTTACAGATTTTTTGCATGTAAAGATTACTTATTTGGACAGATGTTTTTATAATTGGGACTTTTCTGGGTAAATGTTTATACAGAGCTATAAAAATAGAATAAATTTTGCTTTATTATTTTATTTCTTCAGCATGTCTCTGTGATGGGGCCGGCGTGGCCGACAGCGTGTGCGGTCCAAATGGTCAGTGTATTTGTCTCTCCAATTATGGGGGACGGGAGTGTGATGAATGTGCGCCAGGCTACTATGGATATCCTGACTGTGCTGGTAAGTAGGATTTGTCCTTCTGTGTCTATCAGTATAACTACAGTAGATAAACCACTTGTGTACTTTTGACCTCTGTTGATGAGAAAGCTGCTGGAAAAAAATGTAGCTTCTGGTTTGGTTGGATTTATGGTGGCCTCTTCTCATGACTTTGAAGTAGAAATCCTCCCACGGCATCCACAAAAATCCCACTCTGCCCCCTCAATTGATTTTTTTAATGCAATTTGCATGACACGATGTTTCACAGAGAGATGGAATATGTGATATTTATAGACCTCTTCCTTCCATGGACTCATATTCCCAAGAATAGACAACTGGGAATCACTTAAGACAATCTGATTCTTAAAATAAACAAGGTCATCCCAAGAGTTTCAATTCCTGTTCTTTTCTTATGAGATTCACTTATCCCTAAGGACAATGGCTGGGGCTCTGGAGGTAGATTATCATCTACTCATCTGAATTGTTGATGGTTTGATCTCAGCCAGTCTGAACCACATGTTACTCTTTGATGCATTCGTCTGCATGTGAATGTGAATAGTAGACAGAAAGCACATACATGTGGAAAACAGTGCTTGTGTGAAGGGGTGAATGAGACATGTTGCAGAAAAAAGGCTGTATAAGAACCAGACAACTTACCATAATAATGCTTAGAGTTCTTATGTCTGCTTGTGTAACTGTCCCCAGCCTGCCGGTGTTCACAGGAAGGCTCATATGACACAACTTGCGACCAGTTATCGGGTCAGTGCCTCTGCCTTCCAGGTGTGGTGGGTCAACTGTGTGATCGTTGCGCCTCTGGTTTGAGATTCCCTCAGTGCTCGGGTAAACACTTGAAATCATCAAACTCATAAAAGTAGTTTTTATGGACAGCGGATAGATGTGTTATTTAGGTCATTATTGTTTGCTGTTGCTGTGGTTATCGTTGAGGCGCAGTACTATTACCTTTTCCTTTTTCATTTTGTCCTTCCAGCCTCCATCAGTGTGTGTAACACAGCAGGAACTGAAGCGTCTGATCCTCGAACGGTGAGCCGTTCTCTGTAAAGTTGCATTTTTCTGTGCATCGTGGCCCTATCTGGAACAAGCTTTTATTTTCCTTGCTGATAGAAGTGGTCACAGTATAAATCCAGTGATGGGTGTGGGTTTGCATTGACTAACAGCCCTACTACTGATAACACAACTCCACGTCATCCTGCGCGGTTTCACAAGGAAGTGTTTTTCTGGTGAAAACCAAAGGAAATTAAAAAAGGAAAAGAGGCTTCCGTCCATTATAAAGGGGAAAAACAACACGTAGTATTTATTTAGGCATCTATTGAAGTATTTCTGAGAGTCACCTTTCAGTTTGGAGCATAATGCACACTTAGAAGAAAGAAAGAAATGCTGCCAAGTTTCAGTGTAAAGAAACATCTTTATAGAAAATGCAGCCACTTGCAGTTGATTTTATCGCTCTGATTTTAAACAAATATAAGGCTTTCAACAGTAGCTACAAGTCTCAACAATTCTCAGACTCCTTATCTGTTGTTTCAGGGCTCTTGCCGCTGCCTAGCAAATGTAGAGGGAACCCTGTGTGACAGGTGTAAACCTCTATACTGGAATCTAGCTGTAGACAATCCCCGTGGCTGTATAGGTAAGTAAAAAGGAATTTGAATAATAAAGGAAAAAGGGGGAAACATGACAGAAAAATGCTTATTTGGCTTCCATACAGGCAAAAATGTCTTAATTCTGACCATATATTTCTCAAGGCTTTTAAATTGCCTGGAACAATCTGACAAGGTACTGATATGAGCTTTGTCCCGTCTTATACGTCAACGTACCTCTATCAACAAGGCTGGTTCTGCCTTTGAAGAATAACACATTATACAGGCAAATCCCTGCTGCCTGCTTCCACTGTGAGATTTCCTCCTGAGATTGCATAAAAAAGTATCCAGTGACACATTAAAAATAGAACGTCTGAACATCTACTTTTATAACCTCTACAAAAACTACTCCTGCTTTATTCAATTGAAAATTTTTAATATAGTGGAAACTAAGGAGAACAGCTCCTGGCTTTGTTCACATATGTCTGTTGTTACTGCTCTGCTCTCTTGCAAAACTGTTATCGCTACTACGTTCCCTCAATGCTCAATAAGGAGTGGGGTGGGGTGTTTTTAATATCCCAAGAATGCATCTGGTTGACTGTGGCTGGACATTGAGGGAAAAGTTTTCTTTTTTTCCCCCCCCACTCGGCTGAATGCAAGCTGCGGCCTGAAAAGCTCCTTTGGACCTTTGATGTGCAAATCTCTGAAGGCTGGAGGGTTTTACAATGTTGTGTTTCACCCGTGAATTTCGCAAAATCCTGCAATCAGTGTCTATTCACTGTAGAGCCCCCCC